CTAAACCTTACCCCTGACGGATCATCTCATCTTGTTTTTCGTATGCCATTCTTGTGGTCTGGCATACCTGGTACAAAAACTTTCATTTCATCTTCGTACAACATGCCTCTTTCCCTCTCTTGCTCTTGGCCGGATCCATCAGTCAGTGTGTGTGTGTGTGTGTGTGTGCGTGTGCGTGCGTGCGCGCGCGCGTGCAAGATGTGCAAGGAGATCTCGCTATGCCGTCATGCTTCTCTTACTTGCTGGTTTTGCCCCTCTGTGTCACCCGAGTATCAGCTGAAACCTTGTCAAGAAGCAACTCTGCAAACAGTGCTTGCGGGCTTGATCACAATGAAGCGAGTATAAGGGGCCGGAACGGTTATTCTCATATGTCGACTGGTCTAATTTCCAGGAAATGACATTCCTGTCCGTATCGGCTTTTCTTTCCCGAGAGAGAGAGAGAGAGAGAGCGAGCAACTTTTGTTCAACGTCATCACTACGGCAAGCTCCAATGGACCCATGGTACAAACATGAGATTTGTTGGTGTCGGTATGTCAGACTCGCTCCATAGACACGCCACACGCAGGCGCACAAAACACCACACGCACGCACATGTACAAAAACAAGGACAAGACAAGCAGTGTGCAAACGGAATCGCCTACAGTCCTGAGCACTGGGCTTCTCGAAATCCGGTCTCGTTGCAGCGGAAGATGACCTCCGGACACTACGCACTAAGACAGGTCGAGGAGTCTAGCAGATGCGTGGCCATGGATTCTGCATGCCTTTATGGCTTTGTTTCCCTGCCGCCTCACCACCTCCTGAAGCTCGCAGCAGGAACTCCGCAGTCGGCACGGTCCCGTTCTGCGCGGGTTGGGGCTTAGAGGGAGAAGTGGATCTGTTTCTTGTTTCGGCTCTCCTGTTGGGTTCTGAGCATGTGATTGACACGGCTCCTCCCGACTAGACTTGTGACTAGCCTCGAGTAAGCCAGCAAATGTGTCACTTGTGAGGCCTGGTAGGAGTTGTCGTCGGCATTCCTGAGAGTATGATTGTCCATTGCCCGCAGCCTCTGCAAATGGAAAGTTGCAAACGAGGGGCTGCAACAGCTCCAGCTGCCAGTGCACGTCGCTCCCATACCTTCTGGTCAGAGGAATCGTTGGAGGCTTTGGGTTCCAGCTTCGAGGCCGCAGCAGCTCTCCCGCCAAGCGCTTCAGTGCTCGAGCCAAGCGCGCATTCTGCTTGACCTAGCAGTAGGACAGAAAGAAGCAGAGAAGCGGCTGCTCAATTTGTGTTTCGTGATGGCCTGCAGCTCACTTCCAAGGATCTTCTCCCCCTCGAAGCCGAACTCCTGGAGCCCCGTGGCTTCGCAGACGACAACTCTGACGAGCGACGGCAAGTTCAACAAAGCGCGAAGATGAAAGAGAAGAAGATACTCGTGCCGATGACGGGATGCGGATGCGAGGCGCACCATGGTGCTGGGGGTGGTGATGAGGTGAGGATGATAATGATGATGACGATAATTATGCCGATGCCGATGGGAAAAGGGATTCCGATGGTTCAATGATGATGCCGGCGCTTAGGCAGCTGCTGCGCTTCCTCGTCAAACTGGCAACACACCATCAATCAGGACGAGGATGACAATAAAGGTGAGAACCGAGATTGATAAACTTCTGCAGAGGATACGAGGAGCAACAAGGCCAATAATTTTTCTTGCAGTGTCGGTTACCTTTCCGGTGAACAATCACAGCGGCATCGGCGCAGCAGCTCAGAGTGTAATGATGACTGTCGTCTCCGACCGCAGCACTACCGGTCACTACCGTCACCATCGTCAGCATCATAATCATAATCGTCTTTGTCGCGTCGTCATCGCAATCGCCCGCCATCACCATCGCCATCGCCGTTGCCATCGTCGTCATTGCCATCGTCACCATCGTTATCTTTCTCCATCAATATCACTGGCGGCTCCACCACCAACATCGACAAGAAGAAGCAGCAGATTGCCGTTTTGCTCCAGCCTTTTGTCAGTCCGTGCCGTCACCTCGCTTCTGAGTTTGAGATGCACGCCGATCAAGAGGCCGGCACTCAACCTGCAACACTGCAAGAGTATGTGGGGAGTACTCTAAATTAGGGTCCTGCTTTAGGTCCCCAATATAGTACGGCACTCTAAAAAGGACCCTGAAAGGGACCCTAGGTTAGAGAACTACCCATGCAGCTGACGTAGCTCCTATTCCGGAAAGGACGATGTCGACGATGCAACTGTATGACCATCGCCACCAAAGCAACCTGGTTTCCTCCTTGATGACTGTTCTACCTTCCTTCCCTCGCCTCCCGAAACCCCACCCATTGCAATCGACCTGCCAGTAGTTGCCGTGGTGTTTGCCCCGTTCGCGGTCTGCCAAGTCCACCTCAACAATAGCCTCGCACAGGGCTGGCAGGGCATCGCATCGGGCAGAAGCAGAAACCCTTCAGCAGCTAAAACGAAAATCGGCTTGTTGGTCTAGTCTCCTTTGCAGCCCGCTGGCCTCAAAGGGAAGTGTCTCCCAGCTCAGTGCGGAGAAGCGGTGGAAGCCCAAACCGAGAGCCAGAAGCCTTGGCACAAGCTGTATGAGCATGCGCATGCTTTTTTTGTTGTCTGTCTCTATACGAATGTATACCAGAAGACATCGGAGGTCAACGTAATTCACACAACTTTCTTAGAGTCGAACGCGAGGGCCGCCACCAGGGGCGCCTCGCGGGAGGGGCCACAGGCCCTGCTCAGGAGGCCCACCTGGGAACACATGGAACACATTTGGCTCCGCGCTTTGCGGGGCAGAAGGCGGGCAGAAGTCAGTGCAACCGAGCAACCATAAGCAGCACGTAGATCGCGAGGCCGGCGAAGAGATGTCGCAAGCTCTTCACCCAGAAAGATCCGCCCATGTCTGGCTTCTTGGTTTCCGCATAGATCAGGAGGTATCCGTAGCTCAGGCTCCCGATGGTGCAATACAGCCAAGCAAATATCAAGATGAGCGGGCAGCAGCTCGTGAAGACACTGGCCACAACGATGTGCAGCGTGATCTTTGCCATGCGAGCCCCCATCCCATCGCTGTCCTGGTCCTGCATATAGCGGTTCGTCGCGCTTCGTAGCGGCTCAACGGCCGCCGCCCTAAGGCCCTAGGCAGACATTGTCTCTCTTATGCTATGTTAAGTCTTTGAGGGCCCCCTTTGATCCCGGTCCTCGGGCTCGCTGGCTTTCCGTGCCTCCGAGGGGTCGTTGTCGCCCCGAGCAAATCGTGCGAGGAGGTACTTGGCCAACTGGACGAAGCGCAGAAGGTCGAAGACGTGCAGCAAGCAGCCCAACATCAGGTAGTTGATGTAAAAGTTGGAGAACCCGGGCAAGGCATCGGCAAGCAGATAGATGACCTCGCCAGGGTGCGCCAGCACTTTCGCCAAGACGTCCAGTATGGTCCCCACGATTGCCTCACGAAAAGACGTGCACGGTGCCAATCTTCGCTGTCAAGGCCTACTCCCAATCCGTTCGCTTTGTTCTGAGGGCACAGCTGTCACCAGGAGGACGAACACAATCTGACATGAGAGCTCTCGACGAGGCGACGACAGGCAGCGGAAGACTCAAACGCAAAACTAGAATGCATCCGCTCCTGGAATGAGAAATACCAGTCCTGCCAACGTGCTGCAGACATGCGACTGAGAACATGAAGAGAAACTTTCACGACTAACCGCTTGTCGGTCCTGCAATTTCAGCTGTGCCCATGTGCCCGCTTTCAAAGTCAAGACATTGCTTATAATTGCCATCAGCAGCGTGGGGAGGAATGCCATGAACATCTTCAAAGCTCCAGTGCTCAACACCTGAGCTCTTTCGTCTACAACAACTGCTCACCTTCCTGGGCAGCACAGGCCAGTATTGCCAAGGAACCCCTTGAACCAGATGCTGGATAGCTGGGAAGTCCTCGAAGAGGCGCAGAAGAATCGGCTCCACCCGATCCATGAATGTAGCGATCAACGGCGCCCAGACAATGAAAATTAGCAGGAGTAAACCCGCCGCCGTTGCGTTTCCAGAAGCCTGGATGAATGTGTGCATGCGTATAATATATATATATATATATACATATATATATATACACATAGATATACATACATACGTACGTACATAAATATGTACATACATACATACATACATACATACATACATACATACATACATACATACGTACGTACGTACATACAGACATACATACATGTATACATACATGTGCGCGGTCGTGTGCATGTGCGCCCCGT